ACCAGATCCAAGACTGATTCCTGCAGGACCCCACTAGATACACGCTCCCCATTTGACAGCAAGCCACTTAAAACTACTTTTTCAGTAGTCTTTCTACCAGTTGTGCACCCTCCTTATAGGAATTTCATCTAGACAGCATTTCCCTGGTTTGCTTATAAGCATGTCATGTGGGACTGTGTCAAAAGCCTTACTAAAATCGAGATATAGCACATCTACTGCTTCCCACATCCACTAGGCCAGTAACCCTGCCAAAGAAGGAAATTTTGCCATGGTTTGCCATGACTTGACAAATCCATGCTGGCTATGCCTTATACCCTATTAATCTCTAGGTACTTAAAAACGGATTGTTTAATAATTTGTTCCAGTATCTTTCCAAGTATCAAAGTCAGGCTGATTGGTCTATAATTCCCTGTGTGCTCTGTTTTCCCTTTTTAAAGATAGATACTATCTTTGCCTTTCTCCAGGCCTCTGGGACCTTACCAGTCCTCCAAGAGTTTTTAAAGATAACTGATAACAATTTCAAGATTGCTTCAGTTCATTCCTTATGTGCCCTAGGATGAATTTCATGGAGCCCTGCCGAGTTGAATATTTTTAACATATTTAAACATTCTTGACCTTGGTCTTTCCCTATTTTGGCTTGCATTCCTTCCCCTTTCTTGTTTAATATTAACTGCATTGAGTATCTGGCCACCATTAACCTTTTTAGTGAAAACTGAAGCAAAATAGGCATTAAACACCTGAGTTTTCATGATGTCACCAGTTATTAGCTCTCCTTCCCCACTAAACAGAGGACCTACACTTTCCTTCATCTTTCTCTTGCTCATAATGTATTTAAAGAACTTATCACCTTTTATATCCCTTACTAGGTGTAACTCATTTTGTATCTTAGCTTTTCTCATTTTGTCTGTACATTCTTTTGTTTTTCTTTTGTACGCATCCTTGCAACTTGTCCATGTTTCAACTTTTTGTAGGATTCCTTTTTGATTTTCAGGTCATTAAAGAGCTCCTGATGGAGCCATATTGGCCTCTTCCTATCTTTCCTTCACATTGGGATAGTTTGCAATTGAGCCTTCAATACTGTCTCCTTGCAAAACTGCCAGCTCTCTTGAACTCCTTTTTCCCTCAGATATTCTCCCCACATGACCTTACCAGTTCTCAGAGTTTGCTAAAGTCTCCTTTTTTGAAGTCCATTGTCCTTATTCTAGTGCTCTCATTCCTTCCTTCCTTCCCTTAGAATTGTCAAATCTATCATTACATGATCACTTGCACCCAAATGAACCTCAGAAGGGATGAGCCTCTGAAGACCACGGTGAATTTATTCTTACTCACTGTTGTTAGGGCTCAGAGGCTAGAGCCCTGAGAGAAGAGAAAAGAAGGATCTGAATTCCTTCCCCTAGTCCACCTGACTTTTCTTTAAGAATATAAACCCTGGTAAATTTATCTCCATCTCACAAAGAGGAATAGATAAGAGCATAAAGCAGATTTTTCCTACTAAAAGAGCTAAGGAAAAGTAGGCAATTAATTTCCTTTTAGAAGGGCATTCTGGGAGTGGAAGGAGTCTTGGGCCCTATAAAACACAGGCTATTTCACTGCTTAGTGCTAGAAAAAGCAGCCCCCAGGAGAGATGTTACAACTCTATAACTTACTGGAGACAAAGGTAAAAGTTTATTTGTTTCCAAAAACCTACTAACTCTCGAAAAAGTGACTTTGGGGAATTGATAGCATTTTGATCATTAAGCACCTAGGGAGATGGGACTACATTCTATTTTATATTATCTGTTTGCTGATATAATAAGTACCCCAGTATTCCAAAAAGATCACATAAGTAGTCCGGTGGAGCAGGGAATTGAACTGGGATCTTCTGGATATCAGGTCAGCACCTTAACCACTCAAGCAGTAGAAAATACAACCTTTCATCTTAGTCACTGGTTTCAATATAGCCCTTCTTCAGCATCTCATATGCCTGGGTTGGAAGTCTTTTTAAACTCCCAAACCATAAGCTTTTCTCTGCATTTGTTTCTTGACATTGGGCCCAGTACTCCAAAACTCTTATTTGTATGACTCACATCAAGAAGGATTTGTAGAATTGGGCTCTTTGACTGTAAACTCTACTGGTAAGGATTACATTTTAAGTAACATTAACCTGTAGGGCTCTTTATAAATAGTTCTGAACTGCTGTTCTATCTACATCCTAAGTTCACTGCTAGATATCCTAATAAAGATTGTTAGAAAACAAGTTACTTTTGTATTGTGACAAATACTGTACCTCAAAATTGGTAACTTTAAAAAACAGTTTCCCCAAACTACCAAATGAATAGTGACTGTAGCTGACACAAAATATCAGTATTTCCATATTCTTCACCTTTCCACATCTAGCTTGCTTGTTTATAGACTGCTAAAGAAAAGCTCTATAACCTACCTGCACAGGGTATTAAATGTTTTTTAATTTGGGGAGCGTGGCTTATAGATGCTTCACAACATACTACCTGTACCTTAAGTCATTTTATTTCCCCATCCTCAGGGGCTCTAAATTTACAATAACTCTCCAATTGTACTTTGTTAGTCCAACATCTTAGCCATTCCTGCTTCGCTATAAAATTAGTACCTAGGCAATGCTTCCTGCCAACAAGTGACAGCAAGGACTAGTTACAGGAATACCTGCTCTCACAGAGGGCCAAAAGAAGCTCCAGTTGAAGGCCAGGCTTCTTGGAGAATTGGTATTACATATAGCTGCTGACTGGGCAGATTATTTAATACACGTATATGAACCACCTAGATTGAATTACTGGAGCAGCAGTAGTTCTAGCTTTCTGGAACAATGTTCAATGGTAGAAAACTGCTTCCAAAGCTATTTCCAGATAGCTCTACTGTTCACTGAGTGAAATAGTAGAAGCCTCATCACTTTTCTCTATGGATACATATTCCATGGTGATAATTTAATCTGACCTCCTGTACAACTGTCCCCAAAATGATTCCTAGAGCATATCTTATTAGAAAAACATCCAATCTTGATTTAAAAACTTCAAGTGATGAACAATCCATCATGACCCTTAGCAATTTTTTTTTAAATCATCATCCATGGGATCCCTCCACACACTGGGGTTCCCCCTACTTAAACACACACCAGTCCAGGGAAGCCCCACTCTGTAGCAGCAGAGAGTTAAGACTTGACTAGACAAAGCACTAATACATGTACAATAGGAATCACGCCTTTCCCCAATGCAGTGATAGTGAATCGACACAGCTAAATTACAGACGCATGAAAACAGTGGTTCTGAAAAGCTGACACCATACAGCCAGAATTCAACATCATCCCTCTTCCTAGCAGCTCAATCCACCACACCTTCAGTTAGCTGCCACGTCAGACTAGGCCAGGAATCCCAATTGAGAGCCTATTCTCAAGCCCGGATTCAGTCATTCGCTTCCAATTTTCTATTGCAGTTGGCAATATAAGTGAGAGACCGCTCCAAACCCTCGAATCTAATAGGATGGCAACGTAACGCCATTTGAAAAAGGAATAAAGAGTGCAGATTAGTGTGATTAGATCTAAAATACAAAGACTGCAAGAGAAAATTCAGGATTTGCAAACTGCAATGTCAGCTACTCCAAACATCAACACCAAAGCCTGCCCTTCGAAAATTAGATCTGTGTTGCAAGAAAGAAAGCATACACAGACAGAGAAAAATTTACGCTGGACACTGCTAGAGAATGAGTACAGCTCGCTTAAAATTAAGAAACTAATCTTATCTCCGCAAGTCTGATTTAGTTGTGCAAAGTGACACTTGCTTGCCTTCCAGGAGACTCATTCCTTCCTCCTCCAAACCAGCCCCCCATTCATTCGCTTTCCACTGGGCAGTTACATAAGGAATGAGCTGCACAACTGTAGGATGGAGGAAAGTACTGGTGCTTTCTGCAGCGCGTCAGGGGCTGAAGCATGAATAACTGCAACTGCTTAAAGCCACTAAATCTTTAACATGATCAGAGCTGTCACACGAGGCGGCAACGGAAGCGCATCGCCCTTATTTAGAGCTAGCCCAGTCCTAGGGTGTTTTTCGGGGGAGGAAAGGCAAGGACGAGTGTCTCCCTGATTCACATCAACCCAAGCCTCCCACATTTGGGAAGGGGAAGTCTGCATGTTGTCTACACGCGGGACAGCTCTTCAGAGAAAACTCCCCCTTCACCCTGCTGCTGGGGATTTTGTGAGTACCCCATGAAGACCTGTCAGGGCTCTCTCTCCAGCAGACAAATACGCCCCCCGAGAAGAAATGCCCCCTCCTCCCATCCCTAGCAAAGGCACCGCTCCTCATCTCAGTGCCCCAGGGGCGTGAGGGCCAAAACCCCCTCGCTGCCCCATCCCCGGCAACTGAGGCAACTCCTGGGGGGAGCGGGGTGTTGCCCCACACCAGGAGGGGAGGGCAGAGGCCCCTGTGGAAAAGCGGGTTTCCCCACAGAAGGGGCTGAGAGGAGACCGCGAGATCGATCCACGACCCCCCCCCCCGGTCGGTCTAGTTCCCTCCGTCCCCCTCCCCGCAGCGGAGGATCAGGCCCCGCTCCCCCGCGCAGGGTCGGTCGGGTCCTCCCAGGGAACATCAGGCCCCGCTCCCTCTCGGGTCGGTCTGTTCCGCCCAGGGAGGATCAGTCCCCGCTCCCTGGGGTCGGCTCTGGTCAGTCCGGTCCGGTCCGGTCCGCCCAGGACGTATCAGGCCCCGCGGGCACGCACCGGCGCAGGAGCGGGTCTTCCAGATCTTGAGCAGCAGGATGATGATGGCCGCCAGGTGGGACAGGTCCCCGGTGAGGCGGAAGATGTTCATGGCGGAGGCAGGGGGCGCCCGGAGCCGGGGACCGAAGATGGCGAGAGCTCAGCGGACACCGAACGACGTGGCCCAGAGACGTGGCCAGACAGCCAGCGCGCCCAGTGCACCCTGGGAAACCGGAGCGGGAGGCCCCACCCCACCCACCGCGAGGGACACGCCCCCTCCCCGCCCCCGCCCCGGGGGCTGAGCGCGCTCGCACTCCCCTGGGTCCCCAGGCCCCTGCGCGGCGCGCGCGCCCCGTGAGCAGCAGGCCCCAGGCCCCAGGCCCCAGCCCCCTCGGCGCGCTGTTAGTGGGGCCCCTCCAGACGCGTCACTCAAGCCCAGCAGCAGCTCTGGCCGAGCAGTAAGGAGCCGGGTGCACGAGGTAACCCGCTCCCCCAAAACAGCCCTCACACACCTGTGTCCTCTGCCTGCCGCCCCCCACCCCCTCAGCCAGCAGCTTAATCTGCACTCCGGGCATGACTAGCTCTGCCAAACACTAGCTCGGGGCTGTGCTTGAGCGCCCCGGGGTGCAGGTAAGGGGGGGGAAAGAGCTTTTGCAGAAGACTGTCCCCATCCCCAGGGGTGCTGGACAAGACATGCTGGTCTTGGGCCAGGGACTGTGCCTTTCTTTCCCTGTGTTTCAGAAAGTGCCTGCCCCCATTGGGGCACTCCGGCACTCATCTGTCTCGCTCTGTGTATGGGGCACATCACTGGACTAGCTGACTTGCTTGGAGTAGGTTTCCTTTGACTTGGGGCTGACTAGCTTCATGCTGATTTTTAGGGTCCGGAGTCGTGCAAGTCAGTTTAATTGCAAGTGCAGCATTTGTCATAGTCACTAGCACTCCCTGCAGCGGGGTAAGGCTATTACCCTTGTGTAAGGCTTGATCTGTTAGCCACTTACATTGGGAACTCTGTGGCAGGGAAGACGTTCCAAAGTAGAGAGGTCATAATTAATCTTGGTCCAGTGGTTAGGGCACTAGCCGAGGACGTGGGAGACTGTTCAGTTCTCTGCCCCACCACAGACTTGTGTGTGACCTTGGGCCAGTCATTTGTTCCTCTTTGGGCATGTCTGCATTGTCCTTGCCCCAGAAAAAAACATGTTCTTAACTCAGTTAGCTAACCCACATCAGCTAACTTGGGTTAAAATAGCAACCTCAGGCTCCCCAAAGGTTGAACTCAAGCTGCTAACCTGAGGTAAAAGCCAAGTTGCTGTGTCATCACTGCTATTTTTACCTGAGTTAGCTAACTATCCAGAGTGAGGAACACACCTTCTTTTGCAGTGTAGACATTCCCTATAAGTGTTCCCAAGCTGTAAAATGAAGATAATAGCACTTCCCTACATCACCTTTTATTGTTGTGACAATAAAAACATTAAAGTTTGTGAAGTACTTTGAGATCTACTGATGAAAAGTGTTTTTAAGATTTAGGTATTACACTTACTTGAAGCAAAATTAGGCCTCTCTCCTATAGGCTAGACTCAGCATGACAATAGAGGTGGACAAATAATTCACAGCAGATAACAATGATTTTTGCTTTTGTTTACAAACTGTCCAGGAGCAGACTGACTCTTGCACTTATTAATCACAATTATTTTGCATTTCTGGGGCTGTAGTTCATTCATTAACAGCTTGTGAGTACTCAAAATTTAAGCTGTGGCTGGCAACATGTTATGTTGCCCATCTGCATTTGGATGACTATAGCCCCAGAATTGTGTTTTTGATGTGAATATTTGCTATTCCAAACCTAAATCTTACTTCCTCAGAATGGTGAAGACTAAGCTTAAACGGAAGGGGGGCAGAGCAGTAGGATCAGAAGTCAAGGAATAAAAGGCTCCTCAAAATGATTTGCCTGGTTTGAGAGGAAAACACATGGGGATAATCTTGCCCTTGTAGAAACTGGTGAATAATCATCTAGGGCAGTGGTTGTCAACCAGGGGTCTGGGGCACCCCTGGGGACTGGGGGGGGCTACAAGCAGGTTTCAGAGGGTCCGACAAGCATGACCGGCGTTAGACTTGCTAGGACCCAGGGCAGAAAGCCAAAGCCCCACCACATAGGACTGCAGCTCAGGGCCCTGAGCCCTGCCACCCAGGGTTGAAGCTGAAACTTGAGCAACTTAACTTCACAGCGCCCCCTGTAGTGTGGAGCCCTGGACAGGTGCCCTGCTTGCTACCCCCTAATGCCGGCCCTGGCTTTTGTATGCAGAAAACCAGTTGTGGCACAGCTGGTCCCTGGAGTTTTTATAGCGGGGGGGGGGAGGGTGAGGGTCAGAAAATAAAAGGGTGAGAACCCCTGATATAGGGTTTCATGAAATCATAACTGGAAGTGGAAAAGACCTTTTAGGGCATCTAACATCATCCCCTGCCAATGCAGGATTGTTCCCTGCACTAATAACTCTTTCGTCTTCAAAGTGCTTTACAATATTGGATACCACAGTCATGGGTGCTTTATACATATGCTTAGATTGAAGTAGGCTTCCTAGTGCTTTGTCCTTATTATGTCTAGTCTCGCACATTCTTGGCAAAGACCAAGCCAGTCATGCTGGGGTGATGTAATTACCAGACAGTTGGACAACATATGTAGATAGGAATCTCTTTTTAAAAAGCTCTATTTGTACAAATGGGATGGGGGCAGCTTTCCTCACTTTCTAGAAAACCTGTTCAAATGTCCATATTCTGACTTCTAATATGATGTATGGTGTACTTGATAAGTATTTGCATAGTGATGTTTGTTTTCTTCTTAAAGATAAAGTTGGGGTTTGATTCTAGTTTAATGGTGCAAGGAAGAGAAAACTCAGAAACCTTTTATATGCCTTTCAAGTAGACTAGTGATATGGTCACCTGCAACATTTAACATTGCAAACTTTCACCTAGTGTTTTGGAAGAAATGAAATCCTAAACCTGAAGAAAGGTCCTACCTAGGCTCTTATGACATTCATCAGCATGTACGTGCCCAATATCCAGATCAAAGATACATCTACTCCAAAGTAGTACTTTCACTCTTTCCAGCTCTTGCTGTGAAAAGGCAGTCAGGCAGGGGACAACTGTTCCTTTAGGCAAAGTAATCTAGGGACGCTTTCATATGAGTAAGTTGTCAAAAGACTACTGAGAAATAGGAAGTAGGTTCTCCCAGCTAATTTTTTTTTTTAAGTCCTAAACTCATGGAAGCTTTTCAAGAAACATATTTTGCACTCCAGTACACTCACCCTGAGAAAATAACATAACTTCTTTATTATTGTAGAAAGCTGATATCTGTTACAAAAGGGTTGCCATGCTTGAGAAAAGTCAGAAAATTCTTCAAGCAAAATATTTGTATTTTCAAAAAAAGAAAAGGAGTACTTGTGGCACCTTAGAGACTAACCAATTTATCTGAGCATAAGCTTTCGTGAGCTACAGCTCTCTTCATCGGATGCTCACGAAAGCTTATGCTCAAATAAATTGGTTAGTTTCTAAGGTGCCACAAGTACTCCTTTTCTTTTTGCGAATACAGACTAACACGGCTGTTACTCTGAAACCTGTCATATTTGTATTATGTCACTTGAAAAATAGTGAAACGATTCTAACTGCAACTTTTTGCCCTTTCCATGTTTATCCTGAATAAATTGTAGTTAAACTCTTTAAAGGGTTTACTTAGCACCTGAGTGTAAGTAGAATGATGATTTCATGTCAAATTATAATTGAGTTTATTATCCTTTATTATAAGAAGCACCCATGTTGTGACAGGAACATTATTACATATTTTCAAAGATGCATTATCAAGACAAATAAGACTGTTGTCATGCTCTAAATACCAAAACTCTCAAGTCCAGCATTACAGCCCTTGACAAATTCCTTGATATCTTTAGCCCCTCCCTTCCTGTAAAGTGCCTCAGGAAAGATGGGCTTAGAAGTGTTTGGAAAGCTATTGGATTTGGGCAGCCATCCTAAATAGGTGGTCAAGTAACTTTTAGGCACCATCAAATATGTTTGTGTAGATGGCAGCAAGTAGGACCACATTTGAGGGCACAAGTCTGGTGTTGGTTACTCAAATCTAATATTTGAAGAAACACATTGAAATTCCCATGCAAATGGGACTACAGCAATCATGCTAAGTGATAGCAACCATTCCATAGAAAAACAATGTAAGTTAGACCATCGGTGTCTGCAGTGGCACCCTACACCTGTTTTACACTGATGTTAAGAGAATCAGGTCTAGTAAGTACAATTTTCTTTCTTTCTTAGAATGATACTTAGTTGAGCAACCAGATCTTGTTGATCCCTGGAGAAGCTGCTTGATCCAGGATTAATTGCATGGTATCTGGCATTCTAGGCATTGATAATTCTCTGTTCAAATGCCTCTAAAGCTATGAGTAAAATAAAAGTACTTAAATGTACAACTGGAACTGGAGGCACAGCTGGAACAGATAATAAATGTATCAAGGACACAGAACTTACATCCTTCCTCTAACTGTCAAATATTCTCAGTTCATGCAGTATGTATGGAGAGCTTGTGTCTAACCCACTTTTTTTGACATCTGATAAATATTCAAATACACCAAAACCCAAATTAAAGATGACCAGGGGCAGCTTGAACTTGTGCACCAACCCATAACTGAAGCAACATTTAATCTTAACCACATTACAAATAAAAATTGTATTTATCTAACAGAAAATTCTGTGGAGGATTGTACCACCAAAAAAAGTGTCCCATGGCTATTTGTGAAAGCTTATGTTTAGTGCTTCTGTTTTTTCAGGGTTTATTAATTTAATTTTTCAGGATTTATTTTCTACAATTTTTGAGTTGCGTGTAGATGTCCAGAAATTGTTTTTCCCAGGGCTTTCTTTGTATACGCCGTAAAGAGTAATGTATATAATTACTCATTTACAACTTAAACTACTGTAATGAGTAATCTCTTTGTAACTTTCCCTAGTGCACTTTAACATCATAGTGCTGTTTGAAACAGCAGTGTGTTAAAGTGCACTAGGGAACCTTTAGTGTGCACCAGCAGGGTCTACTCTACACAGACCAGTTAACGCACTTTAGAAATCATATCCTGAAGTCCACATTACTGCTCTGTGTAGACAAGGACTTAGATACACGTAACCATTTCTGGTGGTTTTTCTGGTGTTTACAGGATAAACACAGGAGAGGTTTTCTGTTTTTTTTGGTGTGTGTGTGTTTTGTTTCAGGGGTATTAGGGTTTATCAGTTAAAACCGAAAATGAGAAGCCCTATTTAGTTCTTCTGTTCTCCACCTTTTCCTCTGGCAGTAAAAAAATAAAATTAAAAACCCCAAAGAGACTTCAGAATATAAGTGAGATGCTGTTAAAACAAAGGTTTTAAGGTTAATAAATACCCGCTAAAATCTTGAAGGTAAATGTGGCATGCTGCCATTGCTAGCCAACCAAGAAATGCTCCTGCATTTAGTACATAACTGCACAATCATTCTGATTGTGAGCCCTGCACAACAGGACTGAATCACAAGAAGAAGAAAATCGTCATTAACCGGGATTACAAAAACAGACTGAAACTGAAGTACAGCTGATGGTCAAAAAGAGGGGGGCAAGCACATAGACAGATGTATATTGCCTGTTTGCTAAAGTAAGGAAACAGATTTGTTCTGACAACTGCAATGATTTATCGGCTTCCTGGTACAATTAAAGGATCAGGTGTTAACTTTGATAAAGCCTTACATGGTGCAAGCCAGCTGTTGTCCCTGATTTCCAGTAAGGCAGTTGGGGTCAACTGGAATACTTGAGATAAGACCCTTGATTTAACTGTGTAGGGGCTGAGTAGAGATACTAAAGTCATTCATGACAGACAGGACACTTGACATAATAAAATAGAGCTATGAGCACTTGGAGGGTACAAAATACTTACCTTGTTCTTGGGAAAGTTTGCTGGCCATCTCTATACTGTATTTCAATGGAGGCTGTATATGCTGATCCACAAGAGAGCCTCTCTTTCTGAAGAAAGCTTAAAGACATTGTTGGGCCTGAGTGGGTTTGGTTAGAAGCTCTGCTTGGGTATGTCCACATTACGAAATTAGGTCGATTTTATAGAAGTCGATTTTTTAGAAATCGATTTTAAACAGTCAATTGTGTATGTCCACACTAAGCGCATAAAGTCGGCTGAGTGCATCCTCACTACCCTGGCTAGCATCGACTTATGGAGCAGTGCACTGTGGGTAGCTATCCCACAGTTCCCGCAGTCTCTGCCACCCATTGGAATTCTGGGGTAAGTTCCCAATGCTTGATGGGGCAAAAACATTGTCGCGGGTGGTTTTGGATACATGTCGTCAGTTGCCCCTCCCTCCGTGAAAGCAACGGCAGACAATCGTTTCGCACCTTTTTTCTGTGCAGATGCCATACCACGGCAAGCATGCAGCCCGCTCAGCTCACCATCACCGCTGCTGTTGTGTCCTGGGTGCTGCTGTCAGCAGATGGTGCAGTATGACTGCTAACTGTCATCATCCACTGCTTCCGCTGCAACTCTGCTTTCCTGGTGCCATGAATCCACCTCACAGGTCCTCTTGTCGTTCTGTATAAATATCTATTCTCGTGCCATCTGTCATCATCCACCGCTTCTGCTGCAACTCTGCTCTCCTGCAGACGCCATACCACGGCAAGTATGGAGCCTGCTTAGCTCACCACTGCTGTTGTGAGCATTTTAAACATCTTGCGCATCATCCTGGAGTATATGTAGAACCGGGCTAAGAGACGCCAGCATGAGGACAATTTTGATGAGGACATTGACACAGACGTTCCTGAAAGCACAGGGACATCATGGTGGCGGTGGGGCTGGGGCCCGGCAAACAAGCCCAGACTGGTGGGACCGCATAGTGTTGCAGGTATGGGATGATTCACAGTGGCTGTGAAACTTTTGCATGCATAAGGCCACTTTCCTGGAACTCTGTGAGTTGCTTTCCCCCACCCTGAAGCACAGGAATACCAAGATGAGAGCTGCCCTGATAGCTGAGAAGTGAGTGGCGATAGCCCTGTGGAAGCTTGCTACGCCTGACTACTACCGGTCAGTTGGGAATCAATTTGGAGTGGGCAAATCTACTGTGGGGGTTGCTGTGATCCAAGTAGCCAATGCAATCATTGACATTCTGTTATCAAGGGTAATGACTCTGGGAAATGTGCAGGTCATAGTGGATGGCTTTGCTGTAATGAGTTTCCCTAACTGTGGTGAGGCAATAGACAGAACTCATATCCCTATCTTAGCACTGGACCACCTTGCCAACCAGTATGTAAACCGGAAGGGGTACTTCTCAATGGTGCTGCAAGCGCTGATGGATCACAAGGGACATTTCACCGACATCAACATGGAAAGGTGCATGACGCTCGCATCTTTAGGAACTCCAGGCTGTTCGAGCTGCTGCAAGAAGGGATTTACTTCCCAGACCAGAAAATTACCATTGAGGATGTTGAAATGCCAGTAGTTATCCTTGGGGACCCAGCCTACCCCTTGCTCCCTTGGCTCATGAAGCCGTACACAGGCAGCCTGGACAGTAGTAAGGAGCAGTTCAACTATAGGCTGAGCAAGTGCAGAATGGTGGTAGAACATGCCTTTGGGCATTTAAAAGCTCGCTGGCGCTGTTTGCTGACTAGGTCAGACCTCAGCGCAACCAACATTCCCATTTTTATTGCTGCTTGCTGTGTGCTCCATAATATCTGAGAGAGTGCATTTACCAGCACAACATCCTTGTGAGGTAGACAGTGATATTCTCCTCATTTTACAGAAGGAGGACTGAGGCAGAGCAGCAAGTGACTTGTCCAAGGTCTCAGAAGAAGTTCATGATTAGGGCCCTACCAAATTCACAGTGCATTTTGGTGAATTTCATGGTCATAGGATTTTAAAAATCATAAATTTCATGATTTCATCTGTTTAAATCTGAAATGTCATGGTGTTGTAATTGTAGGGATCCTGACCCAAAAAGGAGTTGGGGGTGGGGTTCATAAGGTTATTGTCGGGGAGGTTGTGGTACTGCTACCCTTACTTCTGTGTTGTTGCTGGCGGCGGGGCTGCCTTCAGAGCTGAGCAGCTGGAGAGCGGCAGCTGCTGGTCGGGAGCCCAGCTCTGAAGGCAGAGCCGCTGCCAGCAGCAGCGCAGAAGTAAGGGTGGCCTGGGATGATATTTCTGCGCTGCTGCTGGTGGGGCGCTGCCTTTAGAGCTGGGTGTTTGGACAACAGCCATTGCTCTCCGGCTGCCCAGCTCTGAAGTCAGCGCAGAAGTGAGGGTGGCAATACTGTTACTCCCCTAAAATAACCTTGTGATCCCCCTGCAACTCCTTTTTGGGTCAGGACCCCCAATTTGAGAAACACTGGTCTCCCCCATGAAACCTGTATAGTATAAGGTAAAAGCCCACAAAAGACCAGATTTCATGGTGGGGAGACCAGATTTCACGGTCTGTGACATGTTTTTCATGGCTGTGAATTTGGTAGGGCCCTATCTATGGAGGAGCAAGGGAATTGAATTTGGGTCTCATGTTCCAGGCTAGCATCCCAACCACTGAACCATTCCTTCTCTCTCCCCACTTCAAACTTTTTTTTACCATGAAACCAGAGTTTAAGAAGCCATGACATTAAGCCTGGTTTAATAAATCACAGACCTCACAATCAGCAATGGGGTTTAACTTCTTTCATGCAAAATATTAAAATGGTGGTTAAGCGAAAAGGGATTTTCTACCTGTTAACATCCTGGATTTAACTATTTTACTTATATGGGCGTGTCCTCTTTTACAAGAATACTCAATAGTGGAAAGAAGAAGTTACTCACCTTGTGCAGTAACATTAGTTCTTTGAGATGTGTGTCCCTGTGGGTGCTCCACTTTAGGTGTCGGTGCGTCCCTGCGCCGGAGATGGGAGATTTTAAGTAGCAGCGCTTGGTCAGGGCATGTGTGCGCAGCAGCTGTCTCACGGTGTTGTTGGTGCCTCTTGTAGTGCGTGCACGACCCGACTCCTCAGTTCCTTCTCTACTGTCCTCGGCTGCAGTCAAATGATGACTTCTCTAATTATGGCAAACTGCAGGAACTCTTAGGGGATCTTCCTGAAGACAAACATCCCCAGCTCAAGGCTGTCATGACCGGGGGACAAATAATAGCCTGCACAGCTCTACAGGCCTCAATGGATGTGGCAGACACAGCCGTATGAACAATGGCCACAGCATCTCTTAAAACTGGGTGAGCCTGGCATTGTGGCTGATGACGTTTCCCGCAACTGGGAAAGGAAATGTGAAGAAAAATATAGAAATTGGTTAAAAGAAAACTCTATTTCTACTGCTAAACTAAAACTGACGGGAAAGAGATTTTTTTTTAAATAACTGGCTAAGTAAAGTCTAATCAAACTACCTAAGAGCTAAGAAGCTAAAATTACGATGTAAACGATTTTCTTTTCTAGCAATGTTCGAAGAGGCAGCACTGCCACTAAGCTCTGTCTGCAGCCGAGGAGGGCAGAGAAGGAACTGAGGGGTCGGGTCGTACGCGCGCTACACGAGCCGCCACCAACACCGTGAGACAGCTGCTGCGCGCGCGAGCCCCGACCGAGCACTGCTACCTAAAATCTCTGGCGCACCGACACCTAGAATGGAGCATGCAAGGGGCACTACTCAAAGAAGCAGCAGCATTCAGCATCAGATGCTGATCTTATGGCTGGAGGTACGCTGACTTTACATCAGTGTAAAACATCAGAATGTGGCCCATGGTTTTGTTGCCACAGGCCATTTTTATCTTGCAAAATGAACTGTAAAGCTTAAGGACTGCCTAGAAGCATGAGTACACTGGCTGTGTGAAATACATGATTCTCATTAGAATTTATTTGAGCACTGGTTGATTTTAGGTATAGTAATGAGAAGGGAGAAGCACCCGTCTTGACAATGCAGTCCTCATGCTTCCTCAAAGTATGTATTATTGTACAATGACTTCATGAGCTATGTAGTTTGAGCCGTTAGCCAGGATGGGCAGGGAGGGTGTCCCTAGTCTCTGTTTGCCAGAAGCTGGGAATGGGCAACAAGGGATGGAGCACTGGATGATTACCTGTTCTGTTCATTCCCTCTGAAGCACCTGGCATTGGCCACTGTCAGAAGAATGGATACTGGGCTAGATGGACCTTTGGTTTGGCCCAGTATGGGCGTTCTTATGTTTCTTGTTTTTTATGTCTTTAAGTGTATTGGGTGCTGTGTAAATGACAGTGACAACTTAAAGGAAGGGATTGCTATAGAGAAAATTCCTTCTTTCTCAGCTTAATACATAAAACCTCACTCTCACTGCTTTATAGTGTAGCTTCTAGTGTGTGGTAGTTTGGCTGTACATATACAAGTGTGACGGTGACACTTCGTTTGATGTTCACAGCAGAGGATATTCTCAGACACCAAGTCAACAAGCACACTTGGAATCATCACACTTTAGTCACAAGCCAAAAGGACACCACACTCAGTAATTAAGTTACTAGCGTGTTGAATGGAAACTCCTATGAATTCCATTGTTGAAGAACTGTTCTACAGTAGTGTTCTCTAAAAGGGGTACACTGGGGAAGAAAAACTTGCATTTCTCCAGAGCCTTTCATCCAAAGTGCTCATATTACTTTACAAACAAAAATTATGCCTCATGACCTTCCCTTGAGATAGATATTGCTGTATCTACATAGTTGGTACTACTACTCTACCTAATTTTGTTACTATTAAAATGTATATGCCCAAGTGTTTACTGTAATACCAAAGGTATCAACTACTGACTAACTTCACAAAAATGAATCAAGGATCTTAAGGTTTTAAAACCATTTGCATTTAAGTTTACTCCACAGACTGTACAAAACAAAGAGCCCAGTTCCACTCTGATTAAAGTTAAAGGCTGAACAACTTCTGATGTAATTGGAAGCAGAATCATGCCCAGGCACCTGGGCAGAGGAACCGTGTCCTTCACTAGTACTATAGGTATTTGAGGTTCGTAGTGCGGCTACTCTTTCTGTGACTTATTACCTCTAAATGGAAGTGCCGACTGTCATCTTGAATATAAAAACATTTTCTTCTGCAATTTAATTGACATGCAAGTGGAATTCCACTCGGGTAAACTGTGGAGCTCAAACTTTTAGTGCTTTCACATCTAATTGAGACAGGAGTTTTTAATAAGACTAAACAGCTGAATCTTTAAATATAGTAGTTGATCCACTGACACAATTTAAGTGCATTTCTGGGGTTGATTAAAAAACAAGATCCTTTATATTTAAATAAATGCAACAATCTTCTTTCATACAGAAAATGAATGCAATGGGATAACTGACATCTTAACTACTGCAGCAGAGAAGTAGATGTGAGATAACCTTTCACAATGGTAGATATGTTCATAAAGCAATACCAAAGGACATAAGACTGCCCATAACACTGTCACATTTGAAAAAATAAAAAAACAAAGACATGAACAAATATTTGAAATATGATTTATTATACTACAATCTAACAGGAATAACAGTATTTTCTAGACTGTATTGTCCTATCTCTATTTAAATGTACTTAAACAGAACACTGTCTTCTTTTTCCACAAACTTTTGCAATTGCAAAATGAATGTTTGTCTTTTGCTTGTGTTGCTGACAAGAATCCATAACAATTATGCAAAGCAAGAGGTAAAGGATTGTTTATTTATCTGTCACTGTTTAAAATATCAGGACTTGCCATGAAAATCTTCCTATTTTAAATACTGGACACAATCTATATGTTGATAAAACACAATGTTTTCTGGATTAATTTTTTTTAAGAAGTGTGAACTTAGTGTACTGGGAAGCACTAGCGTGCCTCTTCTGAGAACTGAAGTTCTTTATTCCCACAAGAACTACAGCATGAGAAGCAGCAGAGCAAGTTTACTCTATGCTGCCCCAGTCATATGCTTCAACCCTAGGCAGGAGTGGCACTTCTAGGGATGAGGATAGCGGAGTCTCCATGGCCCATTCAATTCTCAGCCATTGAATGGTAACAGCCTGTCACTACTTATGTGGAGAGGATTCAAACAGCAGCCTAAAGACGAAAGACTCTATATTGTGGTAACAACTAGGGTCCCATGGCACTGTACAAGGACAATCCCTACCCTGAAGAGCTTACAATCAAAATAGAAGAAACAATAAATGGCTAAGGCAGACAGGGAAGTACAAGGAAGCAATGAGACTGAACTGGTCAATATGTAAAGCCATGGCCACAGCACACTGGCTGCCTAACAATCTATATCGCTGTATCCGTCTTCTGAGTCAGTGAGGCTCCTCTGTAAGGTGTATAAATCTGAAGCCTTCACTGGTCTTTTCATGAGACACCAACTTGTCATGAAAGGATTGGAGGAATCCCAAAACTCTTTAATCTATGGCAGCAAAATAGCAGCTGCTTTCTATACTTGTATCATGAAATTGTGTGCTGGATCAGTTTGTTGCTTTTTAAGACACTATTATGCTCAAGCATCCCAGAGAGACTCAGCCTCCATAATTCTTGCTGAGCTGCAGCTCTTTATCCACTGAATTTTCATAGCTTGATTGGCTTTCTAAATGATCTGTTCTATCAACTCCCATGTGAGTTCTAGGCTTCTGGAAAACAAACAAAAAAGCAAATTAGTGCTACAGAATGTTAGCATTTTTAAACAATGGGACAATCGGGCAGGTATTTGCTAAACTACAACTCTGAATTTTAGTCTGTCACTGTTCTGGTTCAATAACAATATGGAAAAACCAATGAATGTTATCACTAATGCTTAAAACAGGAGTTTGTGTGGCAGGATATGAAAGCAGCAGTGGAAATCAAATGATATATCTATAATATAAGCAAATTAACTTTAGGATAATAGTGCCTGTTGCTAATTTACAAATTACTTGAGTGTGTGTGTGTATATGTGAGAGAGATCTTAAGTATTCATCCGATCAAAGGTCATATTTACAGTAATGGGAGTAAGAAAATGCTTTTTGATACTAAACTATTCTACCTCTAAGACACAAGTAATCACAATAATTAGTAATAGTATTCAGGAACTTTATTCTTTACCCCCCTCCCACTTCCCAGATAAACGATTACTGCCATGTTTAACTTCTGTCTCTGCTTCAAAGAGCCATATATTGAATGCACAAGGCTGTGCAGTGTCAAAAAAACCAACTGCCCCCCTCCACAAAGCCCCAAACCTCCCTATTGATATGCTCATCCTTCTACAAAGAATTTTTTGTCATTCTCCCACTCTTCAAATGACTAAATTAAGAACACCAGAATGGCCATGTTGGCTCAGACTAATGGTCCACTTAGCCCAATATCCTCTCTTCCAACAATGGCTTGTGCCAGATGCTTCAGAGGGACTGAACAGAACAGGGCAATTATTGAGTGATCCATCCTGTTGTCCAGTTCCAGCTTCTGGCAGTCACAGCCTGGGGTTGCGTTCCTGACCATCTTGGCTAATAAGTCCATCAATGGCTGTCTTCCATGAACTTGTCTAATTCTTTCTTTGAACCCAGTTATAGCCTTCACAACATCCCCTGGCAATGAGTTTCATAGGTGACTGTGCATTGTGTAAAGAAGTACTTTCTTATGTTTGTTTTAAACCTGCTGCCTATTAATTTCATGGGATGGTTCCTGGTAAATGACACTTCCTTATTCACTTTCTCCACGCCATTCATGATTTTACAGACCTCTATCGTATCCCCCCTCATTTGTCTCTTTCCTAGCTGAACAGTCCCAGTCTCTTCAATCTCTCTTCATATGGAAGCCATTCCAAACCCTAATAATTTTTGTTGCACCTTTTCTGTACTACTTCCAATTCTAAGAATCTTTTTTGACATGGGGTAACCAAAACCATGTGCATTTGTTCAAGGTGTGGTTGTTCCATGGATTTATATAGTGGCATTATATTTTGTGTCTTATTATCAATGCCTTTCCTTATGGTTTATAACATTCTACTAGCTTTTTTGACAGTCACTGCACAGTGGGTGGATATTTTTAGAGAGCTATCCACAGTAACTCCAAGATCTTTCTTGAGTGGTGACAGCTAATTTAGACCCCATCATTTTGTATTCACCGTTGGGATTATGTTTTCCAATGTGCATTACTTTGCATTTATCAACACTGAATTTCTTAAGCCATTTTCTTGCCTAGTGACCCAATTTTGTGACATCCCTTTGTAACTCTTTGCAGTCATCTTTGGACTTAACTATCTTGAGTAATTTTGTGTTGTATTGTATTTGTCTGCAAAGTTTACTACCTCCTTGTTGACCCCTTTTTCCAAATCATGTACGAATATGTTGAACAGCACTGGTCCCAATACAGATCTTTGTGGGACTCCGTTATTTACGTTTCTCCACTGTGAAAACTGACTATTTATTCCTACCCTTTGTTTCCTATTTTTTAACCAGTTATTGATCCATGAGAGGACCCTTTCCCACCCATCCCATGACTGCTTACTTTGCTTCAGAGCCTTTGGTGAGGGACCTTGTCAAAGGCTTTCTGAAAGTCCAAGTACACTATATCACTGGATCAACCTTGTTCACATTTGTTGATGCTCTCAAAGTATTCTAATATATTAGTGAGGCATGATTTCCTTTTACAAAAGCCATGTTGAATCTTTCCCAACATATTGTGTTTATCTGTGTCTGATAATTTAGTTCTTTGCTATAGTTTCAACCAATTTGCCTGATACTGAAGTCAGG